CACAGAGCTGTCTCCACAGCCAGCAGTAAGGAAAAGCTGCTCAGACAGCACAGGAGCAGAGCCCTGCACCCTTGGGCAGTGGGTTTCAGCCCACAGGAACCAAAGCTCACATCACCTCCAAGCCTCTGCTTCCCATCGCCCTTCTGCTTGTGGGGAAACTGAGGCACAGGCAGAGGGAGCAACCTAATCCACAGATCCCAGTTTAACATCATCTGTTTTCACTTGGGACAATGGCAGCAAATATGTGTGGTTAGTCTGCAGCTTTTTTAAGGAAGTGGAAAAACTTTAACCCAGTTTAGATTGTTAACCCAGGTTTAGGTAAACCACAAGACGAAGCTGTGCCAGGGGAGGTTTAGGTTGGGTATTAGGAAAATATTCTTCCCCCAGAGAGTGGTTGGGCACTGATCAGGCTCCCCAGGGCAGTAGGCATAGCCCCAAAGCTGCCAGAGCTCAAGGAGCATTTGGACAATGCTCTCAGAGACAGGGTGGGATTGTTGGAGTGTCTGTGCAGGGCCAGGGGTTGGACTGGATGGTCCTCGTGGGTCCCTTCCAACTCAGAATATCCTGTGATCCTTGAAACACCCCACAGCAGCCACAGCAATCCTCTTGCTCACTGGCACAGGTCATGGTGCACCAAAAGTTGTCTCTCCTAGAACCAGGGTAAATTAGTTTAAAACACAAAACCTCCCAGGGAAATGGGGAACTGAGGCTGAGCCCTTCTGCCAGGCAGCAGCTTCTCATAACACCATCTCCACAGCTCTACTCCCCCATGCACATCCCAAATCCTGGGGTGCAAGAGCATCCACACAGGGACAGCTGCTCGTGGGCTAAACTTGCTGCCTCCACAACTGCAGGAAAAGCAAAGCCACAAAGGCCTACCCTAGGAAAGCCTCGGGTGAATGACTTGCAGGAGGTAAATCAGGGTCATCCCATCTCTCCCTCCCTGTTAGGGAGCACAGGGAAGCCCCACACCAGCACCCAGTAGATGAGTTGCCAGGGCCCCACACCACTGGGCTGCCCTTGGCCAGTGTTTGCAGCCCCATGTGGGGATGGGGCAGGGCTGACAGCAGGGTAAAAATAAATAAATCAAAAACTGCAGAGTCATTTGACATCTCCTGCTCCCCAGGAGGGTACCACATGCTGCCTCATCCAGGCTGGCCTCATCCTGCTCCTTTAAATCCATCAGCCAGACGACAGGTTTACACGGGAGAGTTATTTTGGTGTGTGTTGAAGGAGCTGTGCCCGCAAGGCTCCTCACACCAGGGCATGACAGCTGTGAAACTAAAAGGCTTTCTCAAACCAAACCTCTTCCCCCTCAGCCTGCACATCACAGGGCTGCTGAGGGAGCAGCTGCTGTGCCATGACTCAGATGGGGACACGAGTGGCATTTGGGGCAAAGCTGTGCAGGGCACAGAGGGCCAGAAACACTGCAATGAGCCCCAGCACTCCCACTGCTGCTGGGGCTGCAGACCATCAACCCACCTTTGGTGCCTCTGGCTTGGCCCCCTGCCCAGCCTTGGGGAGCAGGAGATGAGAGTTCAGGCACAGGACTCTGCTCACATGAAGTAAAAAGGAAAAATAAGTGCCCAGGGGTGCAAGGCTGGGAGATTTGGGCTGGGCAGCCCAGGCACATCAACCTTCTCCAGCAGCATCACCTTCACCTTTGCCTCCTCCACCAGAAGAGAGGTTCCTGCTTCCTCAGAGGACACAGAGACAACTCAGCTTTCAACTCCAGGTGCCCAGAAGATGGTGTGAGATGCAGCTGGTGTGGGCAGCTCCTGGTTGGAGCTACATCACCATGGGCTGGGGCCACCACCAGCCACCCTGCCTTCCCTGTCCCCGTCCCCAGGGCTTTGCAGCAGGAGCACAGCCCTTCCAGCTCAGCCTGTGCACCCAACATGAGTCACCATCCTCATTCTCCACTACTCTGACCTTGACCATGGCCCTTGAAACTTCAGCTTCATTCCCCACCCTTCCTCTATGGACTATGAACACTTCCAGGCCACAGCTATCTTTAGCAAGCATCTGCACAGCATCCAACCCAGAGAAATGTGGTTTTATCTGAGGTTTCTAGGCGTTAACCGCAACAGGGACAACTCACTCCCCCTCTCTGAGCAGCCCAGGACTCCATCCAGCCCCACAGCAAGCTCCAGCTTCAACCACACACAGCTTTTCATCTAACAAAAAAACCCACCCAAACCAGAGCACAGAATTATTCTGCCATCCCAGAGGGGGATCTCAGTGGATCTTCCCAGATAATCAAATTTAAACCACCACCAAAACAGACCTTTGATTAGCAGCCATGGAGGCCATTCATAGCGACAGCATGTCAGGTCAATGTGCACTCCCAAAATCAACTCTGTGCCTCGGGAAAGGGATTTCTTTTTATTTTTATGTGACAGTCTGCATTTGAGGTCTAGTTAACAAACAGCAGACTTGGGTTGCCATCTGGCCAGCCCGAGAGCGTGCCGAGAAATAATACTAATAATCATCATATGGTGGTGCTTTAAAAGGCAGTTTTACAAAAGGCTGGGCAAGCTGATTGAAACCTATGAGGCATGATTTGTGTGCCCCGAGGGCTTGGCCTTCAGGCACTTTGCCTCTCCAATCAGCTTCCCTCAAAAAGGGTCAGAGTCCAGGAATCACGCCGCTGTTTCACCCGGAGACTGATCTGAACGGCGGCCGCTTCTCTCTGAGGGCAGCACGCAGGAATTCACTTGTGCAACCTGGAGTTGGGCTGGTGCTTCATTAACTAAATAAATAAATAATGGAGCTTACAGGACTTTTCATGTCAACAAAGCAGTAGCTGGCTGCTGGTGTTGGGCAATGCCTGCGTGCCTCGTCCCGAGCAGGGACTGCCCGGAGGGACACGCGCCGCTCCTCCAGGGACTCGACAGCAGACACCCAGGGTTTCCAGCACCAGAGCCAAAAACCTCATTCCTGGATTCACACTGCAACGCAGAAGAGGTTCTCCCACCCATCAGGGCATATCCCACTCTGGGACCCACATCCCTGATGCATCCCTGCACCCATCCCAGCAGCACACAGGCAGGAGCTGTGTCCAGCCCCGGTGTCCCACTTTAACACAACAGAAACGAGGGGAGCATTTGCCCCACCAGGCTTTGTGTCCCACTCCATTTTCCCATACACATCACTACACACAAGGCTGCCCATCTTGCAGCCATTCTGATGCCCCCAGCCCTACAACACAGACAACTGACCTAATTTTCCTCCTTTTAAAAACACCCAGAGGTCATCCCTGTCTGCAGCAAAACCCCACTGAGCCGGGAAGAGAAACACAGAGTGACCTCTGTTAGCAACATCCCCCCTCCCCAAATCTTCCTCTGCATTTTGCCCTGTGCTGTCTCTTCTAAATGGTTGAGAATGAGCATCTCCCACATCCCTCAAGGCTGTGAAATGGTGCTGAGGAGAAGCTGGGGAGGTCCCTGTCATTCCTGGGCGCACACACGCTGGGGTGTGGTGTGATGGCTCACTACATGCTCCGACTCCACCTCATTCTCCTTCACAACTCAGAGCATCTCACCCGAAGTTCCCAAGGGCGTTTCTTGGCTCGCCCCACACAGAGAAACGTGGAGAGACATCACACATGTCCGTGCTTCACCCACTGCCCAGTGACTCAGAGCTGGGGCAAGAATGCTCCCTCCCAGTTAACCCAGTTGCTCCAGCAGTGCTTTCCCTCCTCTCCCATCTCTCAAAGATAAGATTTGCCCAATTTGCCTTTCCAGTAGATCTGACCAAACTCACACTTTCAATACTGTGGCAAGCCCTGATGCTTCCAGGTACATCTTCCCAAACCCAAAACAGCTACTAAAAAAAAAAAAAGTGAAAAACTCCATACTTTCCACCCCCAAGAATCACCTTTTTTAGTAAGAAGGTCACTCCAGTCAACTGGAGTGTTACTTTTAAGTACCAAATTCTCAGAGCTTATGCAAGCAGAAAACTGCAGCACTGAAACAAAAAGGAAGGACATCAACAGAGGGCTTGGGTGTTTGGGAAAAGATAATGTATAAAATAATTACAAGCAGCATGTCCCTGCAGAGCGTTTCGACTCTGACTCAGCCTCAGCCTTGGCAGGGAAGTGCAGGTGTTCAACACACGCTGAGCCCAGACCAAACCCTAAAAGACAGAAAGGCAGCAGGAGCCTGGGAAGGCTGGAAGTCACTGCAGGGTGGTTTGCTGGGATCTCCTCCAAGGACAGAACTTGCAGCCTGCTGCGTGTGAGCAAGAGTTGGGGACCCAACGGGTCAGGCTGCTGCTCAGTCCGTTCTTGCAGGGACACAGAGACACCCCCAACTCAGCCAGGAATCTCTGACAGCCGACAGATCACCGGCTGGAGGAAAAATAATTGCGTGCCAGCTTTTAAAAGGCAAGATGTGAGGGTGGGTGAGGTGAAATGAAGAGGAACACATTCATTATACAAGAGCTCGAAGCATCAGCTCCGGTGACTGTAAACACCAGGCAAGGCAGGAGCCCACTCTGTGGTCAGTCTGCTGCTTCCATCCCGAGGCTCAGCAAGGGCAGAGCACAAAGCTTTGCCTGCCTCTGGCATAATGAATATCCTTTCACAAAATAAACCTCTCCAAAGCCCCTGTGCTCCACCCCAGCCTCCCCTCCACTCCCCAGCTGAGGCGTGAAAGCCGTGCTGTCTGACAGGGACTATGGGATGCACAAGGCATTAGAGGAGAGGTTCTGCTTCCGTGCAACTCAGAAATGCAAGTCAACTCCCTTGGGGGCTGCCAGGGCTTTTGCCACAGCTATGGATATTTTTATAATCCAGCCCTTGAAAGGGGAAGAATAATCTTCATGAATTTTTATAAGACCAGCTTCCTTCCTGCTTTTTTTTTTTTTTTAATTTTTCCTTTAAACACTCGCACCAGATGACAAGATCCATTCTTGCCCGAACCCGAGTCCCAAAACACCCCCCAAATCCCAACGCCACGCGCACAGGCCCCCCAGGAGGGACGCCTGGCCTTACTCACTGGTCACACTGGGCACTGCTGGAGCCGGTGGGGCTGCAGGCACAGGGCTGGCACCTCTGGGTGTCCTGCTCCAGGTAGAATCCGTGGGCACAGCTCTCGCAGCGCAGCCCCGCGTACCCGGCGAGGCACCGGCACTGCCCCGTCGTGCGGTTGCATTCGGACACACCAACGCTGCCCACAGAGCTGCAGTTGCACAGATCTCCTGCAAGGGAAAAAGAAACACATAGAATCACAAAACAGGGTGGATTGGAAGAGAACTTGAAGTTCATCTTGTTCCACCCCCTTGCCATGGGCAGGGACACCTTCGATCAGACCAGGTGGCTCCAAGCCCCATCCAACTTGGCCTTGGACACTTCCAGGGATGGGGCAGCCCCAGTTTCTCTGGGCAACTCATGCAAGGGTCTCACCACTCCCTTTGTGCACCCCAGGTTGGAAACTTCATCACTGGAAGGATGATGTTTGCTTTAAAATGTTGAGAGCACACTGGGGTTTGAAACCCCATGGTTTGTTCTTCAAATCTCCCTCTAAAGAAGAGCTAGAAGATTACAGGTACAACTACCTAAAATACACATTTATTTTATATATATATATATATATATATATATATGTAATGTATCTAATGTCTGTATGTGCATATATACCCATATTCACCCTCATGGCTGTCTGGTTCCATCACTCCAGGACCACACTAGCTGTGTAATATTAGGATAAAATCAGCAACAGGTGGTAAAATCATTAATTATAAGATTCTCCATTTCACACCACTGGAAAACTCCTGCTTTACCAGCAGGATGGTCATTATGGTGCAGGACACATACCAACACAATGAACTGGAACGAGCATCTCCCATTCCTGAAGAAGGGATACAGAATCCCCTGAAAATCTGCCCTCGAGGGAGCACTGAGTACATGAAAACAGCTTTAAAAACTGGGGGGGTGGAGCTGTGGGCAGACAGAGACCTCCACCACCTAAACCACAACAGGTGAGCAGGGACAGCTCTGCAGACCCACATCTCTGCTTTGGGGACACTCTGTATTTACAGGGGTTCCGGAAAGCACACACTGAGCAGCTGCTTTTTTTAAGAGAGAAGCAAATCTTTTGATCAAGTGATGAATCCCCAGTCCCCCTGCACGTTATTTCTCATAATACTTTAAAGCCCCAAATGCACTGAAGAGAACAACCCTCTCCCCGGCAATTTGTTTCTGCCAAGAGCTTTATCTCCGTTCTTTCATTGCAAAATATTTAGTGCCTTAATAATTTAAAGTATTTCTCTGCCAAGAGTGAATTATAAACAAGGATTATTTGCAGAAATAGTGCATAAAGTATCGGGGGCTTTACGCAACTGCTGGTGTTTGTTATTCCCTGAGAAGAGCCAGTGTTCAGGGCACTGCATGGAGAGGGGAGAGGCCAGGTCCCCATCCCAAGAAAACTTGATTTTAAGCTTAAATCATGTTAAGAAGACCCAGCACTAATGCTCTGTATCAGCACAAGTATTTCAGATTATTTAACACTGACGTTGTGCCCCAATCCAATGGAAAGGGCCTCAGCAGGTGCCACACCAAAAACCCAGTGACCAGGTGAAGATGAATTTATGAATCTGTGAGTAATCTGAAATCAGACCACACTGAAGACCTCAGTGTATCTTTGGAGCCACAAGCCATAAGGTCTCCTCATCATAGCAGTGAGTTTTCAAGGAATGCTAGGAGCCATGTGGGAAGGATCCCACTCTCCCCACAAAGGGACTGTGCAGAAGCACCTGGTTGTTAAACAGCCCCCCAGAGCTTTTCCTTGTCATCCATTTTCTTTCAATACACAAAGAAATATGAGTTATTTAGCTCTGTTACTCTATCACAGGATCCCCACAGAAGTCATGTTGTCCCTATACACCTGTGAAATTGCACCGACATTTCCTTCCATCCAAACTAGCAAATAGGACAAACACCTCAAGATCTGCAATTATCCACTTCAGCAGCCACTTCACATAATGAACCAAATTCCCAGTTCAATTATCCAGAACCTTATCGATTTGGGCACTTGGGCTTCCCCCTGCCAACAGATGCCACGACAACTTGTTGAGCAAAAGCACTTTGGAGTTCGTCAAACGTGCATCAAAACAAATTTCCCTTTCAAAGCTCATTACGTGCAGTGCCATTAGACCTGCCAGACTTGATTAAGGCAAGAAAACGAGCATCATACCCCTTCTAATGGCATGGGAGGCACTCAGAGGGCAGGTCCCACAAAGGGTGATGAGCTGCTCCGTGTGGAGACCACCCCTGTGCTCCAGGAGCATCGCAGCCAGAGCCACCCGAGACCATCGCGACACTCCAGCCGAGAGCAGAAGCTCAGTTGGGAAGCTAAAGGTGATACAAGTCGAATTCCCATTGGAAGTGCTGCCATCCTGCTGGAGTGATGGGGAAGAGCTCCCCCTGCCCATGGGGACCACTCAAAAGCACTGCCTCGCTCCTGCCCTTTCCATCCAGCAAACCAGCTCTGCAACACTGGCTCCTCAGGAGAGCAAGAAATGCTGCAATAATCCAAACTAACACTGGCAAAAGCAGCTTTTTGTTGGGAGGCTGGTGGAAGTCCAGCTCCAGCTGCCTTGGCAGCGCCAGGGGAGGCTGGTTCTGCTGGTGATGGGGGCACAGAACTGAGCCCATCTGGTGCAGAAGCCACAAAATCACCCCCAAGTGCATGATAAGGCACAACAGGGCATATACAGAAGATGTGCCCCAAAAGGGTTGTTTGGGGGAGGTTGTTGCCTCCCCCAAACCACCCCAGAGATCTCTGGGGAGGGATGGTGGTCCCCATCAGGGAAGCAACTGTCCGCTTGGCTGATGCAACTCCAAAAACGCCCCGAAGCCCCTGAGGTTGGGCAGCCGAGGAAGGAGAACCAGACACAGCACTGAAATCCATCGCCTGGCACAGCGTCGAGGTCGAGGCTTGACATGATGATGTACCAGACTATGAACACCCGAGGCCTAATTTAAAAGGCACTTTGCTGTCCCGACAGCAGCCGGGCTCGAGAAGGCGAGAACGGTCCTTCAGCCAGATAACAAACATCTGCCCTGGACTCTGGGAACACAGCACAGATGATGAGCACTACAGAAGAAAATCAGGGAACATTGTCCTGGCTCCCGGCCATATCCTGGCTTTTTGGAGCCTTTATTCAGTTTTCTCGAGCAAATGTTTTGCTTTTGAAGGTTACCTTCAAAAACACCTCGCTGAGAGCTTTGGTGAACACAAAGGAACGAACGAGGGTGGACAAACCCCGGAACTGTCCCACTCCAGGCTGCTCAACCACAGCTGGAGGTATTGCGTTGAGGTTGGGATAACACCATCAGCAAGGGGAGCCAAGGGCAAAGACTTCCCAGGGATGGGGCACTAGTCCAAGCTCTGACTCTTCCCAACTTGCTCTAGTGACTCACACTCGCCCTGCCTCAGTTTCCCCATCTTAGGGTGTTCACCCACCCCCAGGGCCTCCAAGCCCTGCTCGTCTCTGCCTGTTTCCCAATGCTAAAGCATCCAGGTTCCCCTTCCCTCCCCACAAAGCACCACACAACAGCTCAAAGCACGTGGTTATCACTGATAAAACCTTTGCTCGTGATGGCATTGATAGGCTTTAATTAATTAACAGCCCCATGACGTTTTGAGGTGCCAGAAGAGAGGCACCATAAAACTGCGTGTCACTGCCACATGTTCCCCCTTCAAACAACCCAAACACCACTCCCTTCAGGAACAACATTTAACCTTCACCTGTCATGGCTTAGAGGCAGGTGGAGTGGAAGGGAAGGTTCCCCATTTGGGAACAACAAGGGGCACTGTGTGGGACACAGATTTAATATGCAATTTCAGTCACCCCAACCTCAAATTGATTAATTCTTTTTATGCAAAAGTCATAGGTTACCAATAAACTGGAGAATAGATACTGATTAGATCCACACCATGGCTGTAAGCAGCACTGACACAATCAAGAACCTCCAAGTTTGCAGGTGCCCTGTGACCCTTCAGTGTGGCCACCTCAGGCTCAGTGCCAGCCTCCCCAACATGGATCTCAGCCTCCAAATCCTACCCCAATGCAAAACCCAACTCTGCAAACCCCAGCAACACCTCAGCCTGCACCAGGTCCATCGTCACACTGCGTTCCTTCATCTCTCATCCCCTCCCAGTACTTAAACAGGGTTTGTTCCAGAGGAAAAATCCTTTCTCAAATTATTTTTTTTCACATCCTTTCAGCTTTGCAGTGTTTTAGGTCCTAACACATATTTTAAGCGTGATTCCTTCTCCCCTCCAAGCCACTCAGTGAATGAATAATTTAAAAACGGGTGAAATATTTACAAAGGGCTAAAGAAGCCAACACTGTGAAAAGCACGAAGGTCTCTGTGAAACCACATTTGCTGGGGACATCCTGAAACAGTGCAAATCCTGACCAAACTCACCTACTCTCTGGGAGCCAGTATAGAAAAATCCAAGATGCACATTATTTTGTTATAAGAATGTGCAGCTGTAAGAGCAAGGGAAGTCCCAGGGATGCTATTTATTGTCCTGCTGCAAAAGCACCCTCAAGGAGACAGACATTCTCTGTTCTGTGGAAAAGATGAAGGAAAAAAAATAATATATTTAACCTGGAGGTGCTGTTGTGGGTTTGGGTGGTATCACAGCCACGGCAGCTCTGCAGCCAACACACAACTCAGCAGGAACCTCACCTCCCAAACACCCCACAAGTATTCCGCTGGATTTAAACCAGCAAGAATGATGCTGGATTAAAGGGGCATCTCCTGCCATTTCACAGAATCATTAAGGCTGGAAAAGATCTCCAAGATCACAAGAGTCCCACCTTTGACCGATCACAACCTTGTCACCCAGACCAGAGTTCCACGTCCAGCTGTTCCTTGAACACCTCCAGGGATGGGGACTCCACCACCATTTGATGGTAGGGGCAAAGCCAGAAGTCCCCACCTGCTCCCTCCCTCCCCTGCACATTAAGGTGAGCAGCCCAAAGCCCAGCCCTAAGGCTGGAGACACCTCCTTCTTGATTACAGAATGTTTGTAGTTACCCTGGGTTTATACCAACCTCCCTTCACACCACTCTGACCTCCCAAAACCAGCTTCAACTCAACATCCCACTCACTTCCACAGGGAGGATGAAGCCACTGTATCCACTGCACACAACAGCATCCCATTGCTGGAAAGGTTGTTTTGGGA